ATCTAAAATGTACACAAAATAAAAGAAGAATAAAGCCATAGAATGTGTAAATGATGCTGAATCTACAGTATTTAAGATTAAGATTACATTAAGTAAATTGATGTAAATTAGGATCTTAGCCTTTTGTAGTTTTTGGTATAGGAAAGGGATTTACAATAGATTTTTCAAGTATTTTTCAAGCAGTGTTATAGATCTGTGGCACTAAGGAAAACAACAAAGGTAGATGATAATTATGGGGTTCGTGACTCATTTCACATCACATACAGTCTTCTGAAACAATGTTATTGTTAAAAATATTGATTTTAGAGACTTTAATGTTGACTGGTGGGATTAATAATAGGTTAGATTCTAAGAGGAGCTGTGTGCTGAGCATAATTTAACAAATGTGATTTATTTTCATGCAGGTTTGCTACCTGTCACTTACATTACTTTGCACTGTTATCCATTAAAATGAGCCTGTCACTATCCCTAGCTTGGAGTTGCCTCCATTTACATCTCATTATAGAAAGATTGCTGCTCTACCTTCACGTTCTCTGCTTCGGGACCCCATCTGGTGTGTTCACAATAACATGCATCATTTCCCTCTGTGCCCGAGGGGTTTATAGCATTCCGACATGAACAAGGGACCACTTCAGTTGATCCTGTGTAAAGAGGTGGGGGTGATAATAGCCGACCGCAGCTCAAGAAATCAAGTCGCATGAGATGGAATTTATTTTCCAATCACTGTGAAAAGGAAGGAACACCTGCTGTAGGCCCCACCTTGATATTTGCAGAAGCATGCTGTAGTGTTGATGGTTTGTCACTAATGGCGGGGTTTTTTTTCAGGCAATGGGACATTTCTTATGACTAACAAGAAGCCACACAGTTCCATGGTAAAACCTCTGATAAGAGGCTATGGTATGAAATGATTTCTTTAAGGGAAATCCTTCATATAATTTAAAGAAGACTCTTGAAGAAGCCACTCAGTATCTGTGTGTCAACACTTGAGCTGCTAAACATGCCACAAATCTACTGCATGATGAGTGGTTAATTCAGTTTAATTCTTCTGGATACTTTTTTACAAATATTGGAACAGCTGCTAAATACTGTACTTCCTTATGTTTGTCCAGCTGTGTTTAAGATAAATGTACATTACCAAGCACAAATCAAACTATGCACCAGAATGATATCTACTATTTACTCATGTGTTTAGATTTACAGACTGTCAAAGTTGCCATATTCAAAATAATTAATATACAGATGTGATCTAACTGGTCTGGTTCAAGACTGAGAAACAAAATTAGAGCTTTTTTCTCAGTTTAACTGGAAGAATTAGCACAGGATCAAGTGGGATGAACAGACAAAGGGGGGATAGCGGAGGAATGTGGTCCTTTGTTCTAAGGCTGATTAATGAATTTCCCTTCTGGACCACAGCTGGAGCTCTTGGCATAATGATACAAGGAGGTATTTGGGGGCTTCTGTGCTGGTGAGTTGATGTTTGGGGAGCTGTGCAGGATGATGTTTGTGGTAATAGAGGGATCATGTTTGTCTCTATTCATTTATGTTTAAATGATGGGCGTAAAATGAGTTATTAATGTTATGTAGCCTACTGATGTGCCCCACTTTTTCCCCAGTATGTGGCTGGATATTTTAAGCATGGTTGTCTTGTATGAAAAAAGCCATTTGTGTCCTTTGAATGATTTTCTTGTAGACATTCATACCACTGTCATATGTGCAGAGAAAATATAAATATATTATATTATCTTTATAAGTATAAAACAAAACATTAAGAACAATCTTGTCAGAATGCAAGTTTCACACCTCTGTTGTTTTAAATGTATTAAGCCCAACTTCTTATTACCTTATTAGTGAAATTACAGTAGCTTTATTTTTACTACACAAACTCATCAAAGTCTCCAGCATTATTATATAATTTCTTATTGAAACACCGCAGAGCCACCATGGTATTTAGTAAGTGAGTCATTTGTATAAAAAAAATGATAAAGGATAAATGGCTGCAACAGCTAGCTACAAGTAATAGATTGACTGGTTGGATAGATGCAAAAACAGATGGTGTTTATCCATTACTAAGAAGATGGATGTAGCTACTGTCACTTCACCTACTGAAAATACATTTTAAGCCTTGTGTTTGGCATTTTATTCTTTCCATCTTGGTTTATTGAATTCTGAAATGTTGCAATTCAACAAGAAAATAGAAAGGTTAGTTATCAGCTAAAGCTAGCAACCCTGCTGCTAATCTGCTAATTACAGCTAAGTAACTGCTAATGAAATACCAGAAATCCAGTTACCAAAACTGAAACACAAACTTCAAACCAGGCTGTAACACTTCTTTGATAATTGTGTTGAAAAGAATCTAAAATTCAGCCCAACACAACAACCACAATCAAGAGGTCTAGTTCAGTCATTCAGATTAGCTGAGGTAAGGCCTACAGCTAGCAGCCTAACAAAGCAGTCACAGCCATCTTTAGTCATGTATAACTTTAAGACAAAATAATAATATAATATTGACCACAACACAGCAATAAAATTCTGGCAAGGGACCAAAATCAAGCTGTAAACATTTTTAATTCTGCTATAACAATGGACATTTAAACATGGGAGTTAGTGGGAATTAATTCTATTTTTGAGTTAGCCTCAAGTGGCTATTTGTGGAACTGCAGTTTTGTTTATTTGTTTGTTTTTTTATTTCTGCATTGACTTAATTTTTACCACCAGACTTTGATTCTTTTAATTACTACAATGCTTACATAGCTAATTGGTTGCAGCAGTAAGACATATGAATGCAGGCAAGTAGCACACATATAAACTACAGATGCTTTACTGGATTAACTGTGCAGCGCGCACGAATAAGTAAATGTGCATACAGTATCCTACATCAAACCTGATTCCAATGACTAAATTTGCGTTTTCCTGTGTATGGTTCTGATTGCAATGGTTTCCATGGAAACACCCAATTCATACACAGAAACAGCTCAGTCAATTCTCCTTGAGGTCTGGACTTCTTTCGTTTTTGGCCTTTCCTCTTCTTTCTTTTGCCCTTTTCTATCCTTCACCTTCTCAGACTTCTCTCTCCATCAGTCATGGACATAGTTTGAGGGGTTTCCACTATAAGCTTGGCGTGGGTGAAAGCAGTCAGAGAGGGGGTTGGACAAAGAGAAACGGAGCAGGGTATATGAGCGGGAGGAGAGTAGACCCTTGGGACAGGCATCCAACCTGCTGTAAACCATAATGGCCCCATAACAGGCAGATTTCTCATTTCTAAGATGCTCAGCCCATATCTCATCTACCACTATGACAATCCCACTGAGACCCCTACAAGTCAGGACAGTGCACTCAGCACTGGAGGAGGGGAAGTGAAACCCAGTGATGAGGTAATTTGAAAAGAATGACAGAGAATAGTGATGAATTTCACAAACTGTTAGATTTGATTTCCACATCTACTTGTAGGTAAATAATTGCACAACAGGAAGGTTATTTGATTAGTCCATGCCCATTTGTGGCCTTTATTCTTACTTCTTACAATGCTAATGGTTTCACCAGCACGAGAAACTAAATCGCCATTGGGTTACTGGTGTTCTTTGCCTCTTTTTTTGATGGATTGTCACTCCTAAAATAGGTCAGGAGCTGTGTGCATAAAATAAGCCTGCGGGCTGTTAATGCCCCAAAGGTAATGCTATATTAATGAAGACTGGGCATAGTGGAAGCCACTAGGAGCCTACCACACAAACAGACCTAAGACCTCAACCTTGATTCCTTTTGCACCTCTGGGTCTCTAAGCTGCAGACACCAACATCCTATTAATGTCTATAGTAAGTGGACAAAAGAGTGAAAAAACATGACTTTTGAAGCTTCTAGCAAAAGGTAATCAGATCTGAGATTTTTAATGCTCATCCAGTGACTTAAAGGGGACCAGCTATGCTTATTCCCCAAAACATATTTTTATTCTTGAAGACCCACCAGCTCTCTCATTCATATTATACAGAAACAGCTGTTTTGGACACTACCAACAAGAAAGCTTGTATTTTTTTTGTTATGGTGCCTATGACACTTATTATATTTGTTGCATTTGAGTAGCGAATGCCAAAGAAATGGCTCTGGAAATTCTTTTTCTTGGCATTCATTTGCTGCTAATAACAACAATATGTTTTTTATTTTGGGAAATTTTAAGATATTTCTGTCTCATCCAAAAGTGATGAGAGTTCTCTGCAACTCTCTTCATTACATTGTCACTGCTGCTCCTGTCTTCAGCTGTCAGTATGGCATTGTCCTGACCCTTTACAGAGAAGCATTGCTTTAGAACTGGTGGACTTTAAGAATAAGGTGCCGTCAGAGGCTTGTTTTGCTGTTTTAATGTCTGTTTCTTTGAGATCTACATGAAATACTGATTGCTAAAAACATTTTGCCAAGCTTGTATTGCATTTCTGTATTTTTTTCTCTGCGTAACAGCAAACTTTCATTCACCTCTGGGGTAAACGTGCACTAGTGTCCAGCCTGGCTCTCTGCTACCAGCTCTGACCTAGATCAATAGCCAGCCATGTATCATTAACCCACATCCAGAGTGTGCTTCGCTGGAGGCATGCAGCTGTGAACCCTTATAAACAAACAAACAAACCTACACACACACACACACACACACACACACACACACACACACGAGAAGCCTTCCTTTCCACTTCCATCCCATTTTTTAAATCTGTGGAATTCCTTGACCCCTCTTTCCTCTGATGTTCCGGTCAAGTTTGTGTCCTTTACGTGAACGCACAAAGGACAGAACAGTAAAAGGGGAAAAGAAGAGAAACCAAGAATGGATGGAGGGAGTTAGATAAAGGAAGAGATGGATGGATGGAGGGAGAGAGAGAAGGGGAGGGATGGAGAGGCAAAACAAGCTTTGAATACAAATGAGCTGACACACATAATGCATGCCCTCCCTTCCTCTCTCTCCTTCCCTCTCTCTCTCTCCCCCTCTCTCATGCTCTAGATCACTGTCTCTCTCTCACACACACTCTTACTTCCTCGAACACATGTGCTTGCACTCTCTCCCTCTCCTCTGTGTCTCCTCATCGGATCAGCGGCGCACAGGAGGTGATTTCAGCCACTTGATTTATTAGTCATCGCTGGTTGTTGGAACAAGCTAATTAAAAGGAGCGCGAGCGTGTGTGTTTGTGTGTGTGTGTGCGTGTGTATTTGTGTGTAAGATTTAGAGACTGACGCTGCTGCTGCTTCTTCTGCTGCTGTTGCTGCCGTCCCCTTCATCAGCTCTCTCACGCTTTGCTGTGGAGCAGGCGAGAGGAGAGGAGAGGAGAGAGAAGAGGAAGAAGAGGAAGAGAAGGAGGAGAAAGAGAGAAGGGGCAGACACCTGGGTGGAAGGACATTTTCACACCACTTCCCCTCATCATCTCTTCTGACATGGCCACCGCTTAGGAATCTGGTGCCGTGGCAACCGTCAGATCCAAGGTAAGGAGGGAGGGGGAGTGGTGAATGAAGAGGCAGACGGGGAGGCTTTCCTCTCCTCGCTCCCATGCCGGGATGATTTGAACAGCATGCCTGCCCGGGATGCTGTAACGGAGCAGCCGCTGTTGGATTTTCTGCACCCTAACCGGTCAAAGACCCGCTGTTACGTGCTTCTTCTAAGAGTCGTGTGAATGTGGGGGGAGTGTCTCTCTGTGGTATTCCCCAAACAGAAGCCCTAATTATTGAGCACTGGGTAAATCCTATTATGGTTTTACTCTCACCCTTTTACTTTGTTCTTTTAATAGTAGGAAGGGATTGCCCCTTAGTCAAAGGAGTGGGATGTTTGCTGTTTGTTTGTGACTCAACTCAGGTGTCAGGATAGGTGCATTGTTCACACATAGCCTCTATGTGTGGAAGAAGCGTGCTGAGTAGGACAGTGCATGCAATCTGACTTGCAAGTGAGTGGTTTGACAATTGCAGGACAAAAAATAAATAAATCTCAACACACTGAACACACACACACACACACACAAGCGAGCTGAGGTATTCGACAGTTTGCTCTGATTGCATGTTCTGGCACCTGACTCCATGCAAATGGTCCAAAACAGTGTCCAAAATACCGAGTAATACTCTGCTGACAAAGTCTTGGATATTTAGTTTGCAGCTGGTGTATGTCTTTGGCTGTGGTGCAGACATGAAATAGAGGAACGGGTGACTGACAGTTGGTATTTTAACACTGCATTGCTGCTGCACATCCTCTCATGTTACCGCTGCACAAATGTGGATTTTTGCATAAAAAGACATGCAAGAGCATGCTTTGGTAAAGCAGGAGTGAGCATGATCCAGATTGTTTTGCCCAATTAGCTTTTGTGTGTGTGTGTAATAGAGAGAGAGGTTGTGTCTAAGTGTGTGCTTACATGCACAGGGATGTCCTGGGGCAGGGTGCTGGACTGCAGAGGCAAAAGAGAGGACATATGGCTGCCTGGGTCTCTTCTCTTTGACGGGAGTCCTCAGAGCAGCAGACGATTCAAATGTCCTGCTCCCCCTGAAGTGCAGGCGTGTGTGTGTGTGTACTTGCTAGTGTTAATTCAACTTTCCCCTCTGCTGCTCCCTTTGCTTCTCTCATCTCCACCATTTTGATTTCAGTTCTCTCATGTTTTATATTCCGATGGGTGTATTGCTGGTGTGTGTGGCTATGCAACAAAGTCTCTTTGTCTCTGGTCTGTTTTGGGAGTTTCTCGCCATCATTGTGTTTGCTGACAGGTTGATTTCATTTTCTCTAATTGATAGATGGACTATTCGATTAGGCCCCTTTTCACATGGACCTTTTAAACAACCAGCTGGACCGCTTCTCACTTTCATGCACTCACTCTGCTATACAGACACAGATTTTAACCAGCATTTCTAAATGACTGCCACGGGCTCACTTTTTCAAGAACGTAAGTAATTGCAGTTCGAGGTGGATCAGTTATGTATGACCTGCTGATTGCAGTTATCTAAGAACTAAGAAGTCATTGACAGTTTTTTTTTCTCCAAAACTGCATCAGGGTAAAGATCTTCTTTTCCTCTCTCTCCAAACAAATCTCAATATAAAGGGCTCCACTTTGCTGGAGAAAAAGGATATAAATTGCAGTATATCCTGTTTATCTGTTGCCAGGTTCAGACGGCACAATACCAGCCCAATTTTGGTCGATTCAAGTCACACAGGACATCAGTTCAAGAACTGTAAAATGGAGTAGACAGCCTGCATCATAAATTGCCAAGTCCTACCCACTGGCATCTTTTAAGGGGTCAAGCATGATTGCTTGGGGAGCAAAAGACGATTTTATGTCTCTATAATGCCCTAATCTGACTTGGTGATTATCATGACAAAAATATTGTGTAGTCTGAGTATACTACAACATGCCTGCATTTCTTTGTAATTATACCTTCAAAATGCCAGTGGTGGTAATGTTACTATGCTGCTGTCTCCAGCTTTTTTATTTCAAGTAGTGCTGACCAAGTTCTGACCACAAGGCATCTCCAGTTGCTACATAATTGCATGAAATCATCACAGAATCATTTGTATCTGAGGCCAGTCTGAGGCCACTAGCTGGCCAATTATTGGAGCATCTCTGTTAGTCTGTCAAATGCACATTACATTTATTAATCCAGAATCAGCCTTTGGCCCACTGATTCTAAAAATTCTTAAATACATGTTGTGACTCAACTTTTTCCCCCCTTTTCCCCATTTCATCAAAGGATACACTCAAGTTTATATCACTTTCCTGCTTTCAGTTAACACACTGCATGGACTGTTAGGATCAGGCTTCTGCTTGCAATCATCAAAAGTAACTTCAAAATCTTTTGGTCTCCCAAAGGGAAATATCCACCTCTTAGCCTGACCGATCAAGAGACTGCATAATCTTAATGCACACAGAGCTCTTTCAAGGTGGTGGAGTGCTCCCCTTCACAGTCCCCTGAAGCAGACACTGGTGTAGTGCGGATCCGAGTGGTCCCGAGCCTTGTCAAATCAAGCTATTGGTATCAGTTCCAATAAAGCCTGAAGCCAGAGCTCTGTAAGCTGAGGCAGTTAATGTGCAAAAGAAGACATGGGCAGTGTATATCTGGTAATGTAGCATGAGTTAGCAGGAAAGAATTCAGTCTGGTGCTGCTTTTAAAGCTCTTGTTCCTGTTGTTTAAATATGCTATAGACTAAATAAAATAGACATGACAGTCAACACGAAAAAGACTGCGACATTAGACAATACTGCATGTTTGAGGTACCAATTTAAATATATGTATTTAACACTATTCAGTGGTTCAAATACTGAACTTAGAAGATAGAAGCTAAGTATCGATCCTATTGAGCTAGTATTGATTTGGCACCGATACCAGCATTGGTGTCTATACTATCAATATTTGGATTGACCTTCCCAGCTATAGCTTTCACTTGCTAGGGGGAGTTTCAGAGATAGGCTCTGATTAGTCAGCATTAATGTTCTTTAAAAAACTCTATTTCACTAGCTGGGCCCACATCCTCATTTTAGGATTGACAGCGTTTTAGTAGGTAAAGGTGAATGCTTGGACATGAATTGAGCTGCGGTTTGGGGAAGGCCTCGAAGGGGACTGGCGACGGCTCCCGGGCCTGGCAGATTCCCATGTACTAAATAGAAGTGAAGAAGTTAAAGAATTGAGAACAAGGAGGGAGGGAGGGAGGGGCACGTAAACGAGAATGAACAGTTTGCAGAACTGGGGGGAACCTATATAGATGGCAACCGGAAGGAGCGTGTTTGGAGGCGTGGTCCCGCTCCTGAAATTCAAATACATAATCTGCAATTAATGATGTAAATACAGATCTATCCAGGGCCTCCCCCTCTTTTACCCTGTGACAGCTGGGATAAGCTTCAGCCTGACTGGATACTGAATTGAATAAACGGTTGAGAAAACGGATGGATGGATAATGTGAATATAGTAAGTCATTAGCTTTGCATGGCTTGGGATGATCTGATACATTTTACATACATTCATACATTCTAATTTTTCTGTCAGAATATCTAAAGCTGTGAGATTTGTGCAAAAAGGCTGCAGATTCTTCAAATAACCTGCACAGCACTGATTAACACTCTTGACCTGATGCAAGGACAGTAAGACTAAAAAGATCCATGTCAGCCTCTGGCTCTGTTTTTGTGCTGCATGCTGAGCAGCGGACAGATTTTCCCATACTAATTAGGCTGCAAACCTGCCACCCAAATCAGCACTTGGAGAACACTTCTGAGAAAAAATATAATAGCGATATCAAATGGGATGGCTCAGAAGTTTGCTTATACCCCAAAGGAACGTGACAGGTTTTATTATTCCCGTTCTTGATGTCCCACTTATTAGATATTAATCATTAAAAGCTTCTCCGCTCATCATTGGCCACCTGAGTAGTTTCTCCCAGGACTACATCTACAGGAAATCTGCTACCGCCAACTCACTTTTCCACCCGGTGGCCAAACTGTAGGAGAGAGTCTCATTGTGCTGCCTCCCACCACGGAAATGAAACACAAAGTAACACTTCCCATCAGCCTCCAGAGGAGAAGTAACAGGAATGATTCTTCCCTCTATCTCTGTTTCTGTCTCTTCTCCTCCTCACTGCTGGTTTCCATTACCTGGGGCTTCTGCTTGTTCACCCTGGCAGTTACTTTTTTTTTGGACAAGTATCACATACCCACAGCTGTACAGACACACACAACCAAACAACCTCTAAAAGCAGTCTTGGTTGGCACATTGCGTTGTTCTGGGGGCTGCTAAGAGCTTAGCTTCATGCCTTATTCATCCCTCAGGCCTATTCTTTCCACCAGTGCAGAAGAATTTAGGAGGAGGAAAGCTGTCCGGCACCTAACACACTACTCACCAACAGGATAGAGGTCAATCTGATAACTTCTGGGCAAAAAAACAAAACAAAGAAGAAAATCTTTTATTTCTTACTGCTTGTCTTCTCTCATCTACTGTCTACTGTATTCTATGTGTGTTTAAAGTGAACTTGACAACAGGAAATTTCAGGGTCTATATCAAGCTTGTGAAATTTTTAGAAACGATAATGTCATAAAACCAGAAAGACAACACTAACTGTAGCTGAGCACTCCTACTCACTTTGGATGTGACAACAGAAATCAGACTGTACATGCTGCTGGCACGTACAATCTCACAATCCTTGTCTTTTTGTGTTTTTTACACAAAGATTTTTCCCTTCTGTCCTCATTTTTCTTGAAATGTGTGTCACTGTATTATCCCTAATAAAGACACAGACAGATTGTAGATTGTGGGATATGTTACAGTGACACTGGGGAAAACTGGTTTTAGACAATGGCATGACTAAAATTAGTGTGAATGTTTGCAGTGAACTTGCAATGTTGTTGCATTTGAATGGGTGTTAGGACGTGGTCTGCTCATTCACAGTCAGGAGAAGGTGCTAAAACTGCAACAAGACAGAGTCAGTCTGTTTAATTCTCATTAAACAGAAATGAAAATATAGTCCAGCCAGAAGCTCAAAGATCTGAAACGGAAATTCAGAAATTCCTCTGCAAAGAGTGAAGTAGTTGCTGCAGGACAACAATTTAACTGCAAGACGACATAGGTGCTCTGCAGCCTTGCGTTTATATAGGAATATAACAAAAATACAACCAATTTGCAGCTAGTGTAGTCAAGTTTCCTGATGCAAAGAGACAGATCACATACTAGTTGCCCTCATTGCACAGGTTGACTCCGAAGAATTGCATAGTGTTGGCAATCTGTCTGTGGTTAGAAATTAGAAGGCAGTTATTTGCAAATGTTCCCAAATTGCAGTCAGTCTAAGCTGGCTATGATTGTGATTCTGTCCACTTGCAATCCAAAGTGGTTGCTCAACTGCTTGCAATTGATTGCTGAATGGAAAAAAAAACAACAACCAAAAAAGGAATAGTTCAACAATTGTGTAAAACCTCCTTACAGCAGCAGAAATAACTGGCAAAACCTACTATTCACACTATTCACAGCTCTGTGATTTCTGCAGTCTCTACAAACAAAAGAAACACATCCAAATACACTATATGTTCTTCCCAGAAATTAAATTGTTTACACTCATTAAATTGCGAGCTGATGCTATGCATGGAGCTCTTGAATGAACTGTATTGTCTGGGTAATGTTGTCTGTCTCTACAACTAGCTTTGGTGGGCTGTTGTGGCTTTATGCCAATATTGTACCAGCTATGCATTTGAAACAGTATTTCTGGGATTTTATTACATAAAATTCCTGGGACATGTGTAGACCACTCTGTTGTGCAGTTGGTTCAATTAAATTTTATTTATATAGTTCCAGTTTATAACAGCAAAAATCTGCAGGTGATATAAATAGAAGACACTCAACAATATTAGATAGAAAACCCCAACAAGTGTTTGATGACAAAGGGAAGGAAGAAATCCCTTTAAACAGACACAGACAGCAGAACCAGGCTAAGGGACGGGCAGTCCTCTCCCATGAGGGGAAAGAGATAAGGGGAAAAACGCGAGGACAGAGAGATAAGGAACTCTTCTGGAAACTCTAGGAACCACAACTAAGCCTGAAGTGTGAGAGCCAAGTGCTCTATTAGAATAATACGGTACTACAAGGTCTTTAAGATATGATTATTCAGGACTTATTATGAGTAAAGATTTTACATTCAATCCTAAATTTAACAGGGAGCCAATGAAGATAATTTAACATGGGAGAAATATGATCTCTGCACTTCTTAGACAAATGAGCAAAATCATCAAAAATGACCTATTCTGAGAAGATCTTTGTGTGTTTCTCACTCTTATATATATTAAATCTTTAGGTATGACAGGCACACTTTTCCCTTTTTAAATTCAGACTGCAATAATGCAAAATAATATTTACTCACAGGCAGTGGCAGAACGTCAGTAAAAGGGAGACAAATGAATACATTTATTTAAAAAATCTAATGTAAATGATGGCTCACAGCATGACTGGTGAGCTCATTAGAGTAGGTGTACTAATGTTAGGGCTTTGGGTACAATCTGCTCTTAGAGTTTGCAACAAAATAACAATAGAAGCATATGAAATAACAGCAAAAAAAAAGACATCAAAGAAAGCTTCAGATCTATCCAAAGCTCGTTTGTCCTGAATGGATTTTACTTAATCTTGCACTCTGGGCATGACCTCAGGGCTGGCAAGCACACTCATCTGACTTACTCTCTCTCTGTCTTTCAGGATAAGGAGGCAGAAAGTTGGGCCTGTTCAGGGGGATGTTCAAAGAAACAAAGAGAGGGATGGCCGTGGAGGAGAAGCCAGGCGTGAAGAGCAGCAGCTCCATCGTTCCCTGCTTTCTGTTTGTGGAGGTAAGCAGTATGGACATGCTGATGTATGGCTTGCAGTTTCTGCACTAATCCTGTGTTACACTAGGAAGGAAAACGGTTTTCAATAGAACTGATGAAATCACCAGAAAACTCCTCACCTCACTTTGCAGATCATGCAAAAAGCTCGACCAAATCTCCTGTTTCATGCTGACTCCAGTTTTATCTCTGAGATTGCCCGTCGTGTTAGCGAGGAGAGACCTGAGAAGTGACTCACTATTTAACGCCCAGCTTTAAGCGCTTTCATCTCTTTACATCCCTACAGTCTCAGCCTCAGCGGTAACATTTTTTCAGGCTCTCAACAGTGGAGTTTGGGACAGCTCAGCAAATTGCTGACATTCTCACTTTGTGTCACGCGCTCTGCTCTGTTCCAGCACCAGGGGAAGTGGTGGCTTGGTAAAGTGGCTACAGTTGTTCTGTGGCATGCTGAGGTTTTTTCCAGCACATTTGTGAACTCCATGATTCATCGAGGTAGTTGTGGATGTCACAGCAGAGACATAGTGGATTTTCAGCTGATGTACTGCAGGGTTTAGGTTTGGGCACACCAAAGGTTATTGTCTGTGGCATGCTGAAAATTCTCAGAAAAACATGCTAACATGCATGGACACACACACCGCTACATCCCTTGTGGAAAGGGTGCTCTACATTGTTTGTGAGAGCAGTCAGACAGATGACTCAGAGGGCTGTGGAAGTCCCAGAGCTTTCATCCATTTGAAACTGAGGTGGTGAAAAGCACAAACTGGTGAGGTAATCAGACGATCTGCAATCTAATTAGACAAAGCTAGCGGTCCAGAAGCTCATTGGCTTCAGCTAAGCCAACCATCAGCTTTTTAGGGAGCAGTCTTTGCAGTTAAAGCATTGTTCTGTTAGAGATAAGAGAAGCTGTTTGCACCATTGCTTTCCAGGTGCAACCACAGCATCCTTTTGGATTTAAACATTAGGATTCTGTTTAGTGTTGACAATACATGTGCAGTGCACAGTGTATGTGCTGGATATAATTTGCACTTTATCTACAGATGGGTCTCATTAAAGGAAACTTTGAACTAGGTGAAGTTTTTGAAATGAAATGCACCTCTCTAGAGGACACGGGAGAGTTGAAGAGTGAAGAGAACACAAAAACAGACATGAGACAAAACACAGTATGTGGGGTGAAAAAGACTGACAGATGCTGTTTTTCCAAAAACAAGTTATGTCTTGTTTTGCCTGCTGATTTCTGTCAAAATTCATCCTTTCCTGCAGACATAACTCAGTCAGATCTAAACACAGCCTGATGATGCACATTTTCACTTCAATGTGACAGTGTAATACAGTACTAGTACATCTCAGAAAATCAGAATAGCACAAAAGGGTTTGCTCCTTATAATTGAATTCAAAAAATAAACTTTATCACATTCTATACATGCACTGCATGTAAAGTGAAATATCACTTTATGTGTGAAATAAGTGAACTCATGTTAGAATATTTCAATATCTCATAAAATCAACCAAAAAAGGATTTGCAATGCAGAAATGTCCAACTTTTGAAAAGCTTGTTCATCCATACACTCAATGGGTGTGTTAGAGATCTGTTGTTTTCCTTTCTTCAGCTGTTAGTGCATTCATTGTTTTATATGTGGATGCAAGAGTAAGAAATAAAGGGGTATCCTGGTGTCCTTTTGCTGCCCTTTATCTGAACAGCTCAGCAAATTTGCGCTGTGCACCTACTGTACCAAACTGTTTCCAAGGGGGGACCTGAATAATGTCGTTACACTAGCCAAACCCTTCATCAGGCTACCAATGAAACACTGGTGTCTTTGGTTATAATACACTCTAAAAGCTCTCCATTAGGTCACTCCGCCATATGCCTCCCACACACTGGTGCTCAGCCTTCAGGTCTCAGTCAATTCCCTTGCTAACTCTTCATCTATGTGTGTCTGTATGTGTATGATTGCACTGTGATAAAGAAGCCTGGCAAGTAATCGAGTTGAAAGAAAGGAGGCAAGCAGCTGTTACCTGTAGAGGCAGAGTAGTGAAAAAAGGGTTTCTTTGGCATGGCAGCGAAAGGTGCAGGTAGCGCTTAAAGCTTCTAAAGCTATTATTTTATATTTCTATATATCAAATTAAGCAATGTTTAAACAAGAGAATGATTTAAATCTTGTATGGCACAGTTGCAAAGTTATGAGCTATTAGCCAAATTCATTACTGCATTGAAAATTACAATACTGGTGGAGCACTAATGAGGGACAGCAAACTGATGGTTTGCTCAGTCCTGCCTCCATCTAAATTCTTGAACTGTTAATTCTGTATTTAAGAATAACTGGCTCCCCATTTATGGCAACTATTGGTAGCAGAATTAATCCACTGCCGCAAGCTAGCTAATTAAGCTAACACTGTAATATTAAACAGGACTCACTTTGACACACATGTGAAATACTATATTGTTGATGTGCACCATTTAACATACCTTGAAATATAATAAACTAATGAAGACAATTTAATCATGTGGTCTTTTCACCATGTTAGTAATGATTGGTCACTGATGTAGGAAGCATAGCATAGCTAGCAGTCTTGGGGAAGCAATTTTGAATTGGTACTTTTCTATACTCCTAGTTACTTCACTCAGACATTCTGTGCTTAAGTAGAAGTACAGATACTAGTGTTAAAACATACTCCAGTAAAAGCTGAAGTACTGAGTTAACTTCTATTCGAGGGATCCCCCCTCCCCTCAAATGTGTCAAACCGAAAGTAATGAGCCTGTTTTAAAAATGAAAGTAGAGATATTTGTTTAAAAATGTAGGAAGTAAAAGTAAAAAGTTGTCAGAAAAATAAATACTCAAGTAAAGTACAGATACCTGAAAATTCTAGCTAAGTACAGTTCGTTACCTCCCACCTCTGTTAAACATACTATTTTAGGCTACTAATACATGGCGCCTGCTTTTTCTTTTAATTCTCTTTATTTTAGTCTTTCGATTGTTGATTCTCTATTTGTCTTCACAGTTTTCTTACTTTACTTGTAGCCAGTTGAATTTGCCCAGATTTATTTTTCTGCCAGAATGAGAGCTGTTTGTTTGTCTTCTCCATGACTGAACATGGGTAAAGAAAGATCCAATTAAGTTTTGGGATGGATATGAATTTCTTTGTCTATAATTGCAAAACAGGGCACAGGCCTTGGAGGAGAATGTGTTTTCTAAAAACCCTCCTTGTTTTGTTAATTTTCCGTCTGTTTAATGTTTTAGAATTTTTCCCCTGGATTCACTGAGTTTCATTATGTCTAAAGCATATTGAAAAAGTAAACAGAAAATAACTGCATGTATGTATTTGTGGTTGTCAAGCTACAAACAGACTTTTGTTATTTGAAAAAGAAGTTTGGGGATTTTTTTTCTTCTTTTGACTAAATTGATGTGTTTTGTTTGATGATGATCTTTCTGTAAAATGGCAATGGGAATGACATGGCAGTGGATGATCTACTAAAACATTCATCCCTGATAAATGGTAATACTAGATGCAGAAATACTTTGCTGTGGGCAGGTACACAGCCTCTAGAGATAAATAGTGTTTACAAGTCATTCTACAGTTAGACATACCCTTACAACAGACTTATATTGATGCAAGTTGGAAATCACAGCACTGAGTCACTGTATAAACTGGGTTGTCTCATTACTGATACTGTTGCTAAGCAGACAGAAAACATCACAGAGCTTTTTTCTCTCTCCCACTGCTTTTTAAGGGTCGAATTTCTTTTGAGGCATCAAAGTTGTTTTTTTTTTTGCAGAACAGTGGTTTTCTAACTCTTATGTCTAAAATATGGCATTAGAAGGTGCCTTCTAAGCAGGCAAGGAAAAAAAAACTTAACAGAGTTTTCTTGCCCAAACTTCCATATAATATGACAGCTGCCTGTGTGGTTTAAATTCAAAGACACGGCTACAATAACAAACCCATTGTTAGTTCAAAGAGTCCAAGTTACATTCATAATTTTACCTGGATGTTTTCCATGCATTCAAGTTCCCAACCCTGGAGCTTCTCACTGTAAATTGACAGTGTTAACTATTGAGCCACTACACTGCCTTAAATAACATTACATTATTGATTGTGAGGTGCTTTAGCAGTTTATGTTGCAAATGTGAAGCAACAGTGATTGAGGGATGATTCTTGGAGATGACTGCATATTCTGTGATTGTCAAGGGTTTGTGTTGCTGCTTCTCTGGATACTACAAGCTGCCTATAGCATTTAGTAATGTGACATGGACATGCAAATGAAATCAACAGACACTACAGATTTCAATGGCTCTTAGCCAAGCAACAGGTACGAGCATGCTTCCAGAGACAACAGCCAACTGTGACTGAAAGGATAAATTCAAACAGGAAGAATTCTTGATGACAGAATGTAATTTGAAATGCAAGGACAGACCTCACTCTTACTTTGGTAGGTTTTAATTCATGCTTATTCTTAGTTGTCACCTGGCAACTGCTGCTCGCCATGCTTACCTTCATAGGATACTACTGCCATCCTGTATCCCAGTATATTCCAGTTCATGGTGAATTTAAGTCCTGTCTGAAACTGAAGGAAAAAAGAAAGAAAGAAAAGACAACGAATAATTTCTTAATTAATTACTTCAAAAATAATGAATGATAATGATTACCAGCCATGGTGAGTAACCACAATTATTGCTACAGTGCCTAATCTGCTTACTGACCCATAGGAAGCAGTGTGAGCAAACTACAGTTAATATTTCACAAATAGGTTTCCCGCAAGGAGTTGTTTGGCTGGTTAGTTGGGAAGTAGTAGTTACTCACTAACCAGTCATAGAAAAATGGATAAACAGAAATACTGAGGCCTTTGATAAATGAACAGAAACTTGTAGCTTTAAAAAGCATTTTCAGATTGGATTTAGCTAACTAACACACCATTGAGAAAGGGCTTGTTATGGGCAAAGTAAAAGTTCTTTAATACCAGAAATATTTTGTGCTTTTACAACTACTGCTTCCTAATGGCAACAAAGAAGAAT